TTGCACGCCTAACCTTTACACTAGGTCAACTGCCGGAGGAGCCGGTAACGAAATGTTTAAAGGCAGCCTGAGAAACTAATACCCTAGTTAAGATAGATTTGGAAATTTTTTTCAAATTGTAATGATAAAAATTTTGGTCTTCGAGTTTAAATTACATAAATATTTCTTTAAACGTGGATTTTTTATTCATTCGACTATTGAGATTTCGTGCATTAAGTGTTTGACGTAAAATATTTCGGGCAAATAAGAGCGCATGTGGTGCACGAGGCTTGTCCGCCATTTTGGAAGCATAACGCTATTTAGCACTAGCATAAAGCTTTTACTTGCCAGATTAGGTAGACCATTTTGTTTGTTGTTATTGGCAACGAACAGCACATTTCGCGTACATAGACACCTCTATGTTTACATGTATGTATGTATGTATTTGTCACTTGAATGTATTGATTATAATTTCTGATAAGCTTTTAGGTGGAATAACTGATAGAAAAGAAACGCAACTATAACACGAAAATTACCAAAATCGAATAATTAAGAATGAAAACTGATTTAAATTACTATGGACTTTTAGCGTAAAGGCGAATAAGGTATTGTAAATATATATGTACATACATATCTATTTAGCTGTTATGTAAATTATTTTTCTCATATTTATATACTTTACCGTTGTAAATGCCTCGACTGAATACTTGGCTACTTTTTGTAATTATTACGATTGTTACCTATTTATATATTATGAATATTGGATCATTTAGTGGAGTTTCTGGATTGACATTCGTCGTCCACGTGATAAAATCCACACGTCCGCAAGATATGTGTGCATGTATATAAATGCATACATAGACGTGTATACATATGTATGTGTATATTTTAATACACTACCGAGCATTTAGCAAAGCAGCTACGCCTAGGGGAGAGGTGGATGCGCCCTGAAACGGCGATCGCTACCGCTGAGTAGTGCAATTAAAATACCGCGTATATGAGAAGAGCCTACAATTTGGGGCGATGACGATGATCAGTTAGTTCTCTAAGTTCGAGCGTGACTATGCCTATTCACATACACATAGAAGGGTACTCATTCATGTCCATATACTCGTATGTTAGTGAATAAGTGTGATAGTTGTGCACAACTGAGGGTTAATGCATGAACAGCTATCCAGGCGTTATCAGTGTGTATGTGAGCATGTGTGTCGTTCTATGAGTGGCCATAAGTTTTGTATGTGTATTTGTTTCCTTTTTCTTTTAGTTGTCGAAAGTTGTACACGCCTCTACTCTTATGTCGAAGAAAGCACGTGGAGTATGCGAGCACCAGATAAATGGGCAATTGAACGCAATAAGCTCCTGAACAAATAATTGCGTACCAACATATATACTCTATATATGCACATATAACATGCAAGTAATGGGCACGGTGACCGCAATCTGCAACACGAGGGCTGCATAGCGAAGCTCGCCGCTAAAGTGCTCCAGTCCATAAATACAAACACACAGTATTGCCCTCCATTTGGTGAAAGACTGACAGTATTGGGAATATCTTTCACTTTATTAGTTGACATATTTAGGCGTCTCATTGAAACTCAGCGACTGTGTCAGTGGTTCTTGTATGCCTACCGGGGCAATTCATTTCGTCGGGATCTTGATATAGCAAACATTTCAGGACTTCAACACTGTGGAAAAGTAATGCATTTTAAATAATTAGATTATATACCTCGATATGGTGGATGAACTCATTCTGTTTGGCTGCTAAAAATAGATAAAATGCTGTATACTTGGAATACTCTAATCCAAAAGTGAAACGACCGACGAAAACATCCTTCGTGATGTTAAAAGACTATACAGTGCTGATTGCATACTACCCGTACTTTTTCGATGCACGACGAAGATAATGTAGTGAATGAATACGCACGTAGATAATATTTGAATTAAAACCTGTAATGAATACTTTCAGTTGAAAGCTGGACCCAGTTATGAACGTTCAGGATTTGCTAAAGATGTTATAGAGGTATTATTGCAATTGACGCGGATTTTATCCGGCCATGGGCTGTTAGTTCGATGATTTTGCGATTGTCAAATCCACCCACATTTTCGCATACAGTTTTTACTCCGGAAAGGTGACATTTTATAGAACTCATGCTATCTCAAGACAGGAATCTTCATATATTTGTCGGTAGTCGGAAGGTCGGCAATTAAATAAAAATGGGAAATAAGTAGATAAAGTAAGATGTTATATAGTGCGTTGGCTGTTGTAGTGTTCGGGAGCTAGATTGCGTTAAGACTCATGCGAATTAATTGAATGAAAGATTAAGAAATCTTAGGAATGTCTGTTGTTGCTTAATGAAGTTGGTATAGAATACATGAAAAATGATAGATCGGCAATCTATCTGGGGGCTGGGGGTAAGCTTTTTAATAATACAAGACTACAAATGAATTATTTCAATGTATTACCGCTACATTTGCAGAGAATGCGACGTTGGAGGTTTTCAAGAAGCGATGACTAGGTATGAATGCAGATTGCACACTCTTTTTGCGGTCTTGTGGCTCCTTTTGCTGCAGCTGATAATTCTATTACTGCACTTAGTGTAGCGGTGCGCTTGCGTGATGTTTGTTGCACACGGTGGTGTTTGTTGCCTCATTCAATTTAGTTCCGTTATGCAGTTCTGACGGTTGTCGTCTGCTCACTCTTCACTTCGTGGCCCCCTCGGCAGCACACATGTTAATATTATAAATATTTGTGACATTCTTTCATAAGTTATCTTTGCTTCTGCTCTTTGGCTGCCTTTATCATTGACAATGTCAGTCCCTGCTAGCAACAACATGTTGCATGTCAATTGCACATACGTATGTACATACAGATATATTTGACTACAAAAGTTCACGCAAGCCACTTTAGTAATGAAAATTCATACAGTTCAACTACTCGCTCGCTACCACCAATAATAGCTTTATACCCTTATATGTATTTGTGTATGTAAGCAAACTTGCTCGTCGATGCGTGTGTATACGTCTATTTATTAAAGCGTACATCGTGATCGCACGCTTGACTGAAATTCTCACAGACACAGATGCGCCAACTGAACTGAGTATTCTGTACGTCTGTTTATGTAGTGTGCCATATCTACAATTGTGTGCGAGTGCTATACGCTCCACTGTGGGACGGAAAGAAATGACCGTATAGCTGCTGCCGCTATTATTGTCGTTGGCAGACGATTGCTAGACAAGCGGGAAAAAAAGTAGTTGGCAACTTGTTGAGGAATTCGTGGTCCCGTTTACAGTGTGTGGATATGGTATTATTTCTGCTTACACACTAGCTAAAAACAGTAACTCGTGTTGACAATAATATCAAAATCGCCGAAAGCTACAAACATTACATCCATACATGTGTGTGCCTTTTTACGATTACATCTATGCCCACAGCGGCCCACTACCACGAATAAGCAGGAAGTGCCCTCCACGGAGAGGGAGAGAGACTGTAACATGAAAATGGGGCACTATGCGCACATACATATATGTATGTATATGCTTAAACTTATTAGTAAATGTGTGTTTGAAAAAAGAAAAAAATGAGAATGCAGATAAGAGCTTTATTCAACCCCAAAAGGTTATTGAACCGTAAAATTTGTTTACCTTCTCAGGGTTATATTAAACCAAAGATTTTATACAATAAATTGAAGCTTTGAGGATATCACATTGTATTCACATAATCAAATTAGCAACCATGAACTTAAGGCAAGCGTAAAGGTCTGGTTGAAGAGTGATCTCTACAAATATCACTGGAAATTCGGGATTGAACTGCACATAAAAAGTGGTCATAATAAATTGATTCAAAGATCTCTCAAGATCAGATTATTGTTGTTGCATCCACATCCTAAATCTTCATATTTGGATCTTCACATATTCATATGTTCTCTATGCATCTATGTATAGAACTTAGGTCTAATAAACTAAACCGTTGGGCTTATACTTTAAATATATATTAAGTGCCTCTTTGAGAAACAAAGGAACATTTTTGCGAAAAGATGTTGGGCATCAATTCCACCAAATATCTATCGAGACTTTATTGAATATTTCCCTTGCTTGTATTTACATTTCGAACAATGTAATGTGTCTTTGCCAGACCAATATGGATGCCGCTATATATGTCAGCAATCGTTACCCCATTGACAACATTCACTTTAAGGACGACGACGTTGGTCTAGTATTTTTTCTGTTCTGTTTTGTACTCATAGTACTAGAGCCGTTTTCACTATTTTAATAGAAGTTATAGGGTTCTCTTAAACATAAATTCGTAAATATATACAAATATACATTAATGTTGTACTATATACAATAGCTTGTATGAGAGTAAGCCACCCAGAATGTGAGTACTCTGCAATACAGCAATAGGAATAAGCTGGCGTCAAACCATAACAAATAATGATCGAATGAAGCGTAGTCCATAATAATGCTCGTATATTTGTACGTTGCGATTTCTCACAGATACTGGTAGCGCCAACAGCAAATATATACATACTTGTAAGTCATAGAAGTCCAATTCTATAGTACGTTTGTCATGGGAGAGATGAGATGAGAGATAATTGTGTTATGCCTACTCGTTCACAGAAGTCGAAAGCAATTGTGAGTATAAAAATGTGCCATTCATTGAGCGCTTTGATGGTGGTGTTTTGGTTAGAGGGTTAGTGTACGACGTCCACTGTACGTACACGTAATACCAGTGCAGTGTGGTGGACAAGAGAAAATTGTAAAGAGTCGCATGACTTGACGAACCGCTAGTTTGTGAATGAGTTTTGCTGTTGCCGAACTGTGGGAACGGGAAACGGCACACTCATATGGTGTTGGTATTAGTGTTTATAGGTGCGAGTGTGTATGTTTATACATATACATGAATGAGGAATGTTTAAACGAAAGAATATTGCTGTGCATTTTGGTATTAGATATTGCACTATGCGTGTGTGTGTGCTCTGTCTACATACTATGTAAGATTTTCTGACCTTGCGCGCTACGAAACACGAACACTTACAATCAGACGGTTAGGGACTGTGAGTAACAGCAGATCGCAGAAGTGTCGACAAGACGCAAAGCCAAGAGGCAGCAGAAGTCAGCTAGCCAGCCAACAGCAGCTGGAATATGCGATGGTCGCTGGTGTGCCGTACTGTGTGACGTGTTGATTGAGTGCTCGGTTGGTGTAAGCGACGGCTGCTCACAGTTTTTCGTCGTTCGTTGGCCTTTGGCCGTTGGTAGATGGTGTGCTGATGAATTCTACCGTTCAGTTGGTTGGATGGTCGGTTGCCAGCTTGACGCGCTGTGCTGTGGTGTTGTGTCGTGTTGTGTATTTGAAGTGAACAGGGTACTGAAACGACTGCGCATTACTTTCAATAATTAGCGCAAAATGAGTGGAATTAACACAGAAACAATAAAAAAGTAACCGATAATGGAAGCTAATATTTTGAAAATTTTCGACATTAGTTATTGTTTATTTTCAAGTATGCGAATATATGTACATAAACAAATAAGTTAGTTTATAGACATTTGTTTGAATGTTCGAAAACTGTGCGATTTACTGATTTTCACAAATGAAAAAAAGGTACGATCGAAAAAAGCAAAATAAGTGCTTGTAATGAGAAATAACGTCTAAATGCAAAAGTGCGAAATAAAAATTGAAATAAACGCATATAATTAATAACTAAAAATGTTTGCGAACTACGCAGTTGACCAAATCGCTACGACGCGGTCATGGAGCTTGGCGAATGCACAGCTGTCTTTAGCAAAGTCACTAGCCAGTGTCGTTGGAGAGGAAGACGGCGATCATGGCGTTCATAGCGATGGTGTTGACAGTAATAGAGCGCAGCTCATAACACAAAAAAAAGCCTGACTTCAGTCTAAATGCTTTTCCGTGAAGTGTTTGGTGTGTTATGCTACTGGCGCAAGAAGTGTCAGCGCCGCAGTTGTCGTATCGTTGTTTCGTTATACGGGCACACGAAAACTATTCGACCTACCGAATTGTTGGTCGCTCTATAAATGCGCTCAGACATTTCGTTGACGAAAAGGCTACCGAAAACCGAGGCGGATTCGGAATTTAACGAAAAACGAGTAATGTCGCCGAGCTTAGGTTCTTCTTTAATTGTTATTATTATTGGTGTTTTTGTTGTAGTTGTCGAGAATGCCAGCCTCGTCGGTATGGTTGTCGACGACTTTATAGCGCCACTTGAACAACTAATTTAGGGCGAAAACAATAACAATAAGCAGAGCAACAATAAGAAAAACAACAATGACGACAATAATATTCGTAACAACAATAAATGAGGCTAAGACAATAAAGTGAAAATGTGAACTTTGAAACAAATGATTTTTCTAACCAATTTAAGAGGCCCAACACACACATACATATGGGGCAGTGGATTATATTTGGATGAATTTAGCCCCGAGAAAACATACATATGTACATATATTTTCATACTTATTAGGCTAACACAGAAAGCAATGACAATCCATGGTAAAACTGGGGCAATGACAACCGTTTTTAAGTTAGATGGTGCCACGCAACAAACTGCAATGCAAGCGTAAGTGATTAGGTGGTGGAAGTGGACATCTGAAATATGCTTTCCTAATTTAGTAGAGGTCTAACGTATACTAGTAACATGATGATATGACGTACTTTATACAAGTACTTGTATTTACATGTATGTAAGATTTCCTGCTGGGGCTCTGACGACAATGCGTACAATTTTAAATAATTTGTAAACATGATAATAGAGAGTATAAAGAAGCTCAAATGCCAAACAAAAACAACAATAATAAACAATCAGAGGAAATTAAGCAATCAACAGTAATACAAATTTACTCGAACAAATAGTATTCAAAGGGGGAGAGCGGAAGCAGAAACGCCATCACCGGTTTGCAAATGAAATGGAAATTGAAAAGCTCAGGCAACGACAATAACAGCGACAGCAACCACTTCAGCGAAAACACTTCCGTCACAATAAGTACGAGTAAATGAAACTTAAACAGACTTTGCACCAATTTTCAATGGCACGAGCGTCGAGAACATTGAACTATTTTCCACTTTTTACGGCGTGTATATTTTTATGGAAAGTGTTGAGTTATATTGACGAGATCCGACTTCTACGCAAACATATGCACCTAGTTAAAACGAATAGAATACATAGATATAGATATAAAAATGCGGGCATGCACACATTCATGCTCAAAATCGTACTTGTATGAAAACGTAAGCGATTCTAAGCAAATGAGCAGCGTACAGTGAACAACAAACGAAGTAGTCTACAATCAGCGAGCAGCAACAGACAGTAACTTACTAGCAACATCTCGTCTTCCCAAAAAGAAAATAATAATATTAATAATAATAATGAAGAATGACTGAGACTGTCTTTGTTTATAGCCGACTGGAATGACATGAAATGGTATGAAACGGAGAAAGCCTGAGACTGGCGCGGAAGTGAGGTGAGTGATAAGCATTAAAGGCCCATCCACATACAACTTTCCTCGCTTTACGTGACAGTTCATACTGAAACAACGAAGCGCAGAAAACAAAGGGTATGTCACATTGAACGCTTTGCTTTCAGCTTTAAAAATGGCGGCGGTTGCTTGGCAAAGTGTAAAAGATGAGAGTTGCCCAAGAATTTGTTTGGCGTCGTGTCGAAAACTTTTTATGTGAACGTACTCATACAAAAGCGTACATCAAAACAAATGACTGACGTAAAGCGAAGCAAAAGTTCTATGTGAATTGGCCATAAGTGTTTGTTTATAAATGTATGTGTGTGTGTAAACAGCTATGTATTGGAAACTAAGTATATGCCATCCTTAACTATGTTCACATATATACTTAATTACGTCTATGCATATAGGTATCTATGTGTACGATTATCTATGTAAACCATATGTTTGCATGTATATTGGTCCAATTGGCCTGCGTTGTGGACCATACGAGATTGGTTATTATACGAGAGGGACGTTGACTGAGATGATGTTTACGTTCGGTTGGTGGAGGCCGGGGAAGGTGTAAATGATTTAGTGATAATGGCGTTGGTGACAAAATCACTTCATTATGTGTGGGTATGGCATCTGATAAAAATGGGTGAGCTAATGTCAAATATATAGTATATTAATATGCAATTAAAAGAGTTAAAAGTGGGAAGAACAGGACTCTATAAAAGAGGCGATTAGCCTTTGGAAGTATGTCGATTACAGACACATGTAAAATACATGTTCACACAAAATACATAAATATATAATATATGTTAATGAATATTATCCTATGCATTCGTAGGTGCATGACACCGCGTACAGGTATTGCCATTAATGCAAGTAACACCCTTGAAGCTTTGAATAGCTTTACGAAAAGTACTAATCGCCCAAAATAGACCACCGTGGAAGATGATTTTAGCTGCTTTTTTAACATCACACACAGTACATAGTTACATATATGCCTATAAGTGATGCCATCCAATCAGCTGTTACGTTGAGGGGGGTTCCCCAAGATGCATAAAAAATAAAAATGTCTGCTCTCAGCAGGTATGTTGCGAGCAAAACTGTATATTAAAAGAGAAATTACTTGCTTATAGGCACATATGTATATACAAATAAAATGAGCCTTCTTCAACCTCAAGTTGAGTACTGCAAAATACAAAGAGTGTTGTGATAAGCTCATTGAGAGGCATGTGACCAATGCATGTGCGACAGACTGTTTACAATATATTGTTTTTTTTTTTAAATTAAAATACGGTTCTATTTGGTGATATGCTTCTTTATATTTTGCTAAGTTTTATCATCAGGTATTTCAAATGTCCAAATGCACGCAAAGACGGCTATCTAACAGCAGTGAGATAATCAAACCTTTTATTTGATAAATAATATATATCTACATACAAATAAACCATTCAATACATAATCATGCCTTCGAGCATATAAATATAAGAGCAACATAAAAATTATAAGCACATGCAAACTTACACATATGTGAAAATATCTGTGTAAATCAAACATTGCTTTGTTTGCGTGCAGATGAATGAATTAATTAAATGTCTCGCTACTTAAGTAAAACGATATGCGTTTAATATGCTTATGCAGTGTATATGGCTACACATACATTTGTAGACATGTATGTACACATACGTACATATGCCAGTGTGTTGCACACTTGAGAGTTCACATATAGGAGAGTTCAGATAGGTTGACAATGGACGAAAGAGAGCGAGCGAGATAATAACCGTTGGTGTATGGTTTGAGCGATGTTGCCAGATCTCGATTCACATTATATAGGCTTGATCGCTTTTGAAACATGGAAATCTACAAAAAAAAATGTATACGTGAACATACGTAGTTAAAAATCTTTCTAGAAGGCGAAACTTGAAAACTCATTGAAGTAAAAGCAAATGATCACCGATTGTTGGTGTATTTAGTTTTTTTTGAATTAGTATTATTGATACATACTTTTAGGCGCATTGAGAAAGTACTATTTTGAAACCTTAGACTATTTACGAATTCTAGTAGAAAATCGAGAAATTTGCACTTGTGCATTAAATGATGATTTCCTAATAAATTCATACAAACATTTGGATAAAAATATGTATGGAAAAAGGTGTATGTTCTATGTATATCGGTATTTCAATGTTTTCATAGCACAAAATGAACTAACTTAACAGGATGAGCGTACATGTCTACATACTATAAACAAACAAACATATCTATTGTATGAGTTAATTAGAAATACGATGAGAAACCAGATTGAACAATTTCAACAATTTCGGCAATTGCAATAACTTAAAGTGTTACTATGTTATAAATAATCTGAATGTATATATATATATCCAGTACATGTGTGTGTTATGTGTATATATATATATGCATATTAGCCTTACTTTGTCTATGTATGTAAATATGGGTGTTTATGGCAGAGCTTTAGAGCGAAATGTGGAGCAAACGTTCAAATGCCTCGAGCGACTACTCTCGATGATGGCTGACTCGTTTTTACGTCCATATGTGTGCATATATTATATTTATACATTGTCGCAAATTTTAATGCGCAATAAGTTTTTTGTATATGAAAACACTCAAAAATTAAGATCCTACATAACAATATACATATGTACATGCATATCTATTGTACACCATATAGTTATACTAATTAATTTACAGCTACGTATGAATGAACACATATCTGAAGAAGAGTTATCTTTGTTAAGTCTATTGCATCCCCTTCAAATGCCCCTGATTACTAGATATATCATTTGGCAAACTTTTTTGAATATTTTTTTTCAAAATACAAATAAAGTAAAAATAACTGTACTGTGTGCTTAATTTGAGGTGTATTGCCGTGTCGGAGTTTCCTCGGTTTGCTTGACATTTCATACTTTAACGACGAAGCGAAGAAAGCATACCCCATGCTTCGATATACGAAAAATATGGCACAAACCATCCCATGCATTTCTCACAATAATACAAATATTTTTTGGTCGATATTACTGTCCGTTTATATAAGGAATTATTTTTCACTTTTCAGTTTAATGTGCTTTAAAAGCATGTTTTATAATATTTTAAACCATACTAATTATATAGCCACACGTGGTGTTTTCACTTTCTATAAGGATGTGTTTGAGTAAATTTGTTATTCAAATGACATCATGAAGGCTTTTAATACCAAAGTTTTAGGGGCATATCGTTGTACGATTTCGCCTATTTTCACAGTGTGTGACAGGAATGGCTCGTTAACCTCAGATACCAAATTCAATTAAAATTGGTCGGATAGTTCCTAAGATATAGGATTTCACCTAAAGGTGCCCATGTAAAAAAAAGACTTCCTCCCAGCAAATTTGGTTGAGTTTGCTCCAGCGGTTTGATATAAAGATATGTATATTAAACCATTTAGGGGTCGGAGCTACTCAGACTTTTAAAAAAATTTTAGCCAATAGGTGTCCCTTGTTATCGCGATTCCCTGTACCAAATTACAGTTTGGTATCTTAATTTTATTACTTAGTTATGGCACTTTATAGGTTTTCTTTTAATGGCGTTTTGTATGCGTGCCAGTGGTCCGATTACGCCCATTTGCAATACTGGCCTCTCTTGGGTGCAAAGGAGCATATGTAGCAAGTTTCATCAAGATATCTCAATTTATAATCAAGTTATCGCTTGCACTGAATAAAGTTACAAACATACAAACATACAGGTGAAGCTAATAAAAGCGATATAAAAATGGCGACTGCTGCTTGGCAAAGCGTAAAAAGTTCAGAGTTGCCTCGCATAAAAACATACAACGAATTTAGCGGTCAAATCAAAAGTCTGAAAGCAAAGTAAAAATTGTATGTGGACCATCCATAAGTGGTTTCTAATATCGGGCGTCCCCCAGCTGAGAACTTTTTTTGCCTTTAATACTTAAAACGAGTAAAAGGTATACTCTCAATTTGAAAGTTGAAGGAAGCTAACAGTAGAACTTTCAGTTACAAATCATATACCATAAGTATATACATACATATATATATGTATGTATATGTACTACTGACGCAATCATTTTAACCGAACTTTTGTTTTGTTTATTATTGCATTACAATTCGTATTGTTCCCACTTATGTATTCCATTTGTTGATTTTTTAGTATTGGATTTTTTATAATTTTGTTTATTTCGCTTCCCTTCAATTAGCTATACAAATTTTATTCTTCCACTTTGATGACGCACAGATCAAGAGGCAGCCTTGTAATATTTTGACGTCATTTCATTGAGATTTTTGCACTTTTTATGTGAAATTTCACCTTTTATAATATCGACCCTGAGGCGAAAAATGAAGATGGGAGGTAAATACAAAATTTCAATGTAAATAAGTGAAAATGTAAGCTGAAGCTAAACATTCAAATACATACATATATATTTATATAAATATATGTATATCTAACCCCAGGAGTTGAGTAGAAATACTTACAATAAAAGTATGTTGTTCCGATTTGTGGAAATTTATTTATAAACAGGTGAAAATGCTAAATAATTCTCATGTGCTACCGTGTATATATGTATTTATAGAGGTTTGTGAGTTATGAATGATGAATATAATCAAAAACGACATGAGGTTTTGCATTTCCATCCCATAATCCTCTTTAAAGCATTAATATGTTACGATATACATATATATTGTTTGAATGTCTTCCATGCCGTTAATGATTTATCTCAAGAATTTTGCCACAAATACGAATTTCTTGCAACTATAACTGATCTGTCGGAAGTCTTCTGGTAATCACGTGAAAAACATGGTACGGCGGAAGTGGAAGTCCGCTAATGTTCCAAGTACGCACTCACAATCATATGTATGTATGTATGTATGTGTATACAATATATGTATGCATACGGGCTTTATGTGCGTTGATAGTTGAAACCATGTCCGGCAGCGGTGTTTCTTCTGCAAACATGCACAAATTAAGAAAACTTACTATAAAAATCGTACTCGTTTTGTTATTTTGCCGGAATTGTATTCGTTATTTCAATTACTTGTGCAGTTGAAAAGCGATTGTTGTTGCTACACTTTTTATGGACAATTTGTTCCCATATCGAGCTAGCTATTGTTGTTGGACAACTTCCTTCCTATAAAATAGCAAAAAACATACTTGAAAGAGTGTGCTTTGTTTGATATGAGTGTATGCGCATGCGTATGGTGCTTACTACTTACTACTTACATTTTCACTTCGCTTCACTTTTCGCTTCTGCTGTTGCCGGTTCGACTTCTGTTTCTATTTCTATTTGAAGCCCATGCTCGTTTCTACTTCCCAATCTGCTTGCTTGGCCTCTAATGCATCTGTTGCTCTGCTTCCATTTCGCTTCTTTTCGTCACAAATAAGTACAGAAAACCAATAGCGCACTCAACCACACGTGTATATATAATATATATTACTTTGTGTGTGGGTTGGTTGGCTGTCACAGCTACATATATGAATGTACCGTATGCGAGTACATTACGTAACTTGCAATGCATTTCAATTACGAGCATGCGTGTGCAACCAAATGCTCACACACACAGATGTGTTATCCATGTAAATGCCACCATTTGTGACAACACTCGTCTCCATAAATTATGTGTATTTCCTCCATGTATGACCACCACTGGCAGCGACAGTGAAACGCCAAGCCGCAGGGTCGAGCTGCGCGAACTGCGCAAACACTTGGATGTCATGCGACGCGTTGAGGTGGCTCCAGTTTGCTTCCCACCGTCTGAGCAGTTGTGTGAGTATTTTCATTTTGTCTCCATGAGTGGCGACGACGGAGGAGGCCACTTCCTTTCGCGCTTCATTTCTCCGCGAAATGTAAACAGCGTGTGCCTTCCCCGCAGGCATGCCGCTTGCTGTTGATACGCCGTCTGTTGCTGTTGTTATTGTAGCAGTGTACCGCACTGGTGGCAGAGTTCACTTCCGTTGCCGATTTTATTGCTGTCGTGTTTTTGTGGTCGTTGTTGTTGTTGTGATCGGTTTGCTATCATTGCTCGCTGGATTATAGGGTATTCAAATACACATAAGTGCACATAGGCATACTTAAATGTGTGCTACTCTATATAGCTGTGCATATGTATATATATGTATGTACATTTATGCATAAATGCTCATAAGTAGGAGCTTGTAGGTGTTTCAATCGATTTACTATGTGTGCGTATCTATGTGAATTTGTTCGTTGTTGATTCATTCATGAATTCATATTTCGCCGTCTCCATTGATAAAGCGGAGCGTCGCGACTGGATTGGTGTCTGATTACTGTCACCACTGGATTCATAGGTACTCGTATTAGGGTAGTTCTTAATTGTGGGTGTTTTTTTCTAGCTTTAAACATTAGAAAATAAACTGCGGTTGGTGTTTGGAAGTGTTCAGCTTTATAAATGTGCAATGGAGTCGAATTTTGACAAAATCAAAAATTTGTAGGTTCCTACGATAAGTTTTGTAGTGACAAGTGCAGCAATACGGCGATGATAGCGAAGGTACAGGCACAGGCACATCTGAGTATGTACATGTAACTGCATTCAGTCTAATGTCTATGAGATTTTTTGAGAGTGAAGTGCAACAACTTTTATATCTATTAAATGTGTCGAAGAAAAAAATGATATGTTTACACAGCGTAATCAGTGAAAATTCCAAAACGTTCCCCTTGTGGAATCAGGTAATGTCAGACTTTTGACTGCCACAGTGACAAAACTAACTCGTCGTTCGTCCATTCATAATTAAACGGTAAGATAAATAAAAGGGTGAGTGAATTCATATCTTTGCTCCGAGGGCCAAATAGACCTTAATGTAGATATTTCGACATCAAGAATTTATAAATGGGGTTAGTAAACATGATAAGCGTTGCAACTTGCAAGTAGTGCTAGTCTCACCGAAAGTGTAAAATTTGGAGAAGAAGCCGTCGTTCTGTCGTCATGGTACAATATATATAATGTTACATATTTGTTGAAGTGTGCATGGAAAGTTCATATGTACGACATACCCTACTCCATCACACAATACACACACATGCACTTATTTTGTGTTAAATTCTTAGTTACTCAATGAATTCATTCACAATTGCACTTTTCCCACAATATGAATGCCACATATTGATTGTGCTCATTTGTACTTCCTATACATACATACATACGGCACATATACCATAGATACACTTCCATTCATACATATGTATGTACATGAACTCTTTGCCTTACACATAACATATATGTTTGCGTTCGTTTCATTTTAGTGCACTCTTATCTGTAAACCGCGATCTATGCCGACTCGACACCAATCCACATGAATATCGAACACTCACACATACAAGCAGCGATGACACCGTTTTACGAATTAGTCTCGCCGCTTTTGCGTTTATTGAATGGGAAAAGTACACCGACATAAACAGATATTTTATGTAGCTGAGAGCACCCCAAAACGAAAACTGGAAATTTTCAAAAAGAAAACAAACATTGGAAGTATAGCGCTGCTGATAAGCTGGAGGTACCCACACGCTGTTCCGTCACCATCTACAGCCAGAACACTCCGGGTCAATAGTCGTGGAAGCGCCCAATGCTCCTCCGGGCAGTTGATTGCCCCATCATAGTCGGGGTTTTTATGCCGTTGTTGTTTTTTCAATTTGCTGGGTGAGTATGCCACCACTTCCGGTGTTAAAGTATTTTTAGATTTCACTATACATTTAAACAAAATTCGTACTTATATATATGCGTACGTATATTGTTGTAATATGTGCTGCCTTTTTGCCTTCCGTTTCATGCGCGTGCTTAAAAAGTATGAATGAATTACTTATTCGCTGCTTATGTGGTCGCTTTGCACATAACGGAGTGCAAGCACAGATACACGCGCATATAAATATCTACGCTCATACGGATTATGAGGTGAAAGAATCTGTTTGTAGTCGCTTAGCATAAAGAAATTTAATTAAGAACATCCAGATTTTGCTAAAGACAAGTCAGTTGCCTGACCCGGCTATATTTTGATGGGGCGTCCGATTTAGAGTGAAATTTATGTATTGAAAGTTTGGGCCTATTTGTCAAAGAATTAAAGAGAAGAGAAGAAAATAGAATAGAATAGAATAGAATAGGCATATTATATAAGTAAGTCTACACCCAAGGACTATAGAGGGGATTCTTTGAGTTCGCTGTTACTTAAAACGACTTTGGAAATACTTTTGAGTTTTGAAACAATTATGGCAAAATTTAATTTCTGGCTTTGTCATTACCACGTGTATATTATAAATAATTAGTTCTTTAAGGCAACTAGTACTGAAAAATTCGTTTACATATTCGTATTCCACTTTGCTTTCATTATAAGAAGAATAAGCAAAATTATTGTTTTTTAAAATGTTCAAGCAATTCAGCTCTTGAATCGAAAACGGTATTTGGAACATTTTTAAATGCTACCAACACTTGATAAACGATTTAACTGTTATAAGCTAAATATTCATACTGAGCTGTGAGGATCAAATATGTTGACATGCCGGGTTTATTAAGGGAAATATGAATACTCAGAATCATATATATATACATACAAACATTTTGAATTTGCTACAAGTTGAGTTTATTCGCCCAATTAGTTAAAATGGATTTTTTGAACATAGAATTTTCTTTTGCTTTATACATACTTATCCACACTTATACGAGCATATACATGCGTATGTTTGTACTTGTATATATTAGGTATTTTAAGACTAAAAATGTTTCATTTCGTCTGCGCTATAGATAGCGGCATATCAGCGACTGAAACAGTCTCAAAATGTAGGACAAACGTCATTGACGCGACCACAGACGCCTCTGCCAACACCGTCTGAAGCGGTAAAGGCGCATGAAAAATGAACGGAATGTCCACACGCTGAAACCACAGAAACAAAAGCCAAAATGAAAACAATTTAAAAATCATCGACGATGAATTAACGGTATGTTTGTATTTATTTATATTCCGAATAAGAAGTTCTCTAATGAATTTCAAGATCGTTTTCATAATTTTGAAGTTTTCCCATTGATTATAAGTACTCTTCCGTTGCAAAAATTATTAGAGAAATTCCTTGGTGATGTAGAGGTGCTATCAAAGGCATTATGGGAGTTCATTAATTATGCTTATTATACTTATAAGTCACTTTAAAAATTGTATACATTTTTAAACGCACTTAACGGCCTCTTTTAACACCTATTACGTATCCATAGTAGCGCGAGAATAGTCCTACCGCAGAAAATTGAGTCGGAAGTAGACATTTTGCATATATACTTACATACATATATATTTTATTGATGACCATCAACAATTATTATATTATTATATTTTTGTTTTGAAATATTTAAAAAAACTTTTGTTTTTTCTATTGATGTATTGATGTGAATAAACTAATATTTATATAATAATTGTTCCTTAAGGCTGCATTATTATGAATTGATAGTTTTTAATATTTAGATCATTTATAATCTTCAACTTGAAAAACTGAGTCAACGGGCAAAATTTAATAATTTCACAACAAACGTACAAATTAATTCGATTCTACAAATCATGACTATTTTAAATTCTAATTAACGTTAGTATTTCCATTTTTTTTGCTGTCGAATAATTTGAACAGTGGCCTGCAAAAATGTAAAATCAGGGGTGTTATCTGATTTATCAATACCTTCAGTAGCCTTAAGCAAAGTAAAATCCTGTGAAATATTAAGAGAGAAACGATTGCGATTTCCTCGCAGCGCACTGAGCTGCGACTGCGGTTAAAAGGTATATCTATTGCAGACACAAATGCAACTCTGATTCGGCATTTTTTTTACCTTTGAAGTGATACAAGCAGCAAAGCGTCGTTATTGTAGATTTGGGATTATCTACGGCTCATATACTCATACATAAGTATGTGCATATGATTGTCTGTAAGTAAATCTGTAATAGCACTTAGCGCATCGCCAAAGAAGCACAGCTATATAAAACGACCAATGGGAGGTATCGGTGGAAGCGCAGGCGCCAGCAACACAATGCAACGCTTGATTAGATCGTCGATGCGCTACAATAGAAGCATTTGCCAAAGAGATCTACTAGACACAGCGATAGCGTGGGTATAAATACAAAGCTAGAAGGGAGGGAGCTAGTGCATGGAGCTTGAATGAATGGAAAACAGTTAATGAGTTCGGGCTGCGCCTGCTGCCGGATATTCATTTGTGCTATTTGTGTGGCTGCATCTGTATGACAGCCATAAACATACATACACATATGCATACAAGTACAAATGTATATTTATCAAGAGAGTTGATTGCGAGTGTGTGCGCTTGTGTGTGGTGTTGTAGATGTGGGTTAAATTTTATGAATGAAGGCATTCGTGTAAATGCATATGCGTACATGTGCACACTTGCACTGGCTTGGAGGTGTGAGTGATCGCAAAGTGCCCACAGTGCAAGACAAGTATTGTGTGCCGCGATTGAATGACCGTAGCGCCACCTACACATGGAAGCATATGTGGATCTGCATGTGTGTAGGAAATGTTGTGCGTATGTGTATGTAGATGTACATCTGCAGTCGTATGAGTTTGAATGCTCTTTAAATAAGTTCAATGAAGAGTAATTGCAAGCGAAGAGTAAAGCGTAAAAAGCAGCTCCGCCATATGCAAGCACAACGACACTGATGGGCAAATGTAGTAGTTATTCTTATACAAGTGCAGTGCTGCATATTACATGTTATTTGCTTAAAGAATGCGCCTGCAAGTAAGAGTTACGTTAGTTTTTGTAGAGCACAATGTTAAATGAGCTAAATGTTTACTTTATATATATATCTATATGTATGTATTTACCTATGTAAATATATACAGCATAAGTAAAGTGAAAAAACATCTTCTTGATTTTGAGATTTCACTGCTTACATGGATCGTCTCCTAAAACAAAACCCTGGGCTAAATATAACTTAAATTGCTTTCTACAAATATTAGTTAAAATCAAAATATATAATATAGAGAATACTAAGAATAAAATATAATATATATAAAGTGTGCTTCTGATAATATGTCGAGAACCTTTTTTTTTTTTAACAAACCCAAATTTTGCTAATATATAACGCCTTTACTAATTGAGACATATTTATATTTAAGTAAAGATTTTTTATTAAAATTAAATTCAATTTATTTATATGTTGGGTGTCTTTCAATATTGTTAAAATCAATACCCGCTTGTGAGCAACCACCTAATGCGTCAATTTATTTGAGACCTTCAAGCTTGCGGGCATTTGCCACAAATTAGTTGCAATTACAGTTTGTTTGACCATAGAAGAATAGTTGCCCTGCAGAGCCATTGGTATCTCACATAATTTATATACTCCTCATGCAGAACAAAGTTTTCGCTTTGATTACAATGCACCTGCTGTTTGTTATGATTGCACTTTTCGAAAACTTCAAAACGAAACGAAAAAGACCACCGGTAGAGACACCGGAATTCATTGATCTGTTGGCGGTGTTCGTAATTAACCTCCTAGCAGGTGGGGCATTTTGCTGCGTAGATAAACATTGCAGTGAATCAGCGCACATGCATGCTGGGTATGCGTGTATAAGTGTGTGTATATGTGGGTATTTGCATCAGCTGTCCGTTTTTGAAGTCAGCTGCTTTTATAAGTAGTCCAACTTAAATGTGTTTGTATGCGAGCGTATGTGAGTGCATGTATAGGCGGATGATGTCAGTGAAAGCAGTTAAAAGTAATTGAAGTAATAGAAAGCAGCAGCAACGAAAAAGCTCACAACAATGCAAACACGCACTCGTCTGTATGTTCGTCTGCATGTAAGTAGCTGTAAAAGCTTATGAGCATATAACGCGCACATTTGATGCCAACCACTTACTTATCCAATGAATATTGTACCTACTTATATATATGCATATATATGTACATATATGTATATTGTACACACATACATACACACATGTTTACATTCAGTGAAAATGAGTGAGTGGGAAGTGAACCTGTTAGTATGTTTTTTGGGTTCGTTAGTTGGCGAATTATGGAATCGTGTAAAAATTTTTATGAATGAAATTCACGCGAGTTCAATGAACCAAGCTTTAGCTCTATTCGCATATTTAGCAAGCGTGTGTACGTGATCGCATTCACATGTAGGTATGTATGTTTCGCATGCATGCCTGCGCACATTTGTATATATACCATATACAAACAGACAGACAAACATGTAAGTAGCCAAACGATTCATTCAAACGTCAGCCGTCACAGTTAACATTGTTATTGTAGTTGGCTGTTGTCACTGATTATTGTGCATAATGAATACTTAATAATTAGATATGTACTCGTATGTAGGCAGCACTGCATTATGGCTTCGTGGAGAGCTAACATATATAGTACACCATTTCTGTTGCCTATATAGATAACTGTCGAACCAATACTTGCTAATGTGCACCCACACAGCTGCGGAAAGCAGTCAAATGCACTTTGGCCGACAAACAACTGCCAGACGTCTGCATAAACTGATCAGTGCAATGGAGCCCAATAAATTGTTTATTCGAATGAAAGAATTCTTAGCTTTTATTGTGCTAGCCACATCGTCAATGATTTTCGTCTCTTCGTCGCAGGCGTGAATAGATTTTCTTTTAATATTTCAAATGACTGTCTATATCTTTTTATGTGAAAAATATTTTGTTTTATTTATGTTCACAGTGAAATGTTTAATTTGGTATAATGGAAGTCCCAGCAAAATGCAGCTCTTACAGCATATGCAACAACAAACACAACCTTACAAATATCAAACATGAAAATATCGGAAGTAATTAAGGTCCTTTTTGCAAAGTAAATGTGGATGATGAGAAAAACTTTATGTAAGCACACAATTTTATTTAATATTTCATTTGTTGTTTATTTTACTTTTTATTCGAATTTCGAAACACCAGGAACTTTTAAGAATATTTTTATAATATAAAATTATATTTACACTTTCCATATTTTGTAAAAAATTTCATGAAACACTTTCCATTGACCTCGTTACGTACAAATAAAAGATTAACCAAACAATTGCAAACAATTGTGTGTGTGTGCAAAGTGCACACTGTCATCGCAATCGGCGTCATAGCCATCATCGGTGCATTCATCGTCACGAGCACGACTATCAGCAGCGGTTATTGTATGAATAGCGACGTCACCGCTGGCATTGCCATTATTGCTCCAACAACACCAACGTCATCATCACTGCGCTTCGCATCCGCTATAATTACCACACACATACACATGCTCACATTTCCGCTCACATCGAAGGCATTTCATTGCGGTGCTTCTCTGTGCTGTTAGATAGAATTCTCAGACCTTGTTTGGTTATTGCGCACGATTATTTGCTGCATTAAATGATTTTGTTTTTGTTATTATTGCTGCCATTGTTGCTGCAGTAGTAGACTGTCTGGTAGGCATGTAAGAAAATTTATTCAATATAAAACGTGCACACACACACACACGCGCAGTGTGCAGGGGGTGATAACAATACCGAAGTACAGGTATGTACTCATAAAAAAATTTTCTAGAAATGTTAATTGCAAAAGCTAAAAAAATATTCCTTCACTAATGTTTTTTACGTCTGGATATGCAAACAAAGAATTATAGAGTAACTCATACGCCGGGTGGCACAAATTACTTTCGTTCCTTTGCACACATTAGTTGTCCATTTAAGTAATCCTGGATAATACAATAATTAAATTCGTTTTTTCTTTGAGTGTAAACACATACATTGTTTCAATGCTCCACTTAGATTTTGCCATAATTAGGTTACATGTATATATACCCGCTTGTAATTAAAATACCATAGACCAGCTAATGATTTTTTGGAAAAGAGCATAGCTCATATTTTGGTGAAAATACATTTAAATACTATGTTTTCCTTTCCCTACTTTCTGCTGCTTTCCCTACCAATTTTTCTAAGTTCTTGAGCATGCTGGTTGGATGTTTGGACTTGCTGCTATGTCTATGGGTAGTCTAACCGTGAAAACACTTATTACATCATCTGATAGAGTTTTAAACGCAAAGCAAGTTGTTAGTGATGCTAGTATGTGTGCTGAAACCACTCCTCTCACATAAGAATTATATTTTGTTGCTGGTAGCCAAGTTGGCGTCGCATACAAAATTATTGAACTACTGACACATGTCAGTAGCTTCCTCACCTGTTGTCTACGGCCCCGCGTATTGGGCATTATCCTAGCGATAGCCAACACAGACCGCGCCAATTTTATATAGGTGGCGATTAGGTGCTGTTTCAATGAGAGTCTGTGGTCAAGGTTGACTTCCAAGTTTTTGAGGTGAGGGCTTGATTTTATGGTGTGCCCATCAATGCTGACCTCAATGGTCTCAACTTTCTTTCGACTACTCATTAGCACCAGTTTTGTGTGTTGCTAGTTCTAAGCCAGCGGTCTCGAGCCAATTTTGAAATAGGGCATGAACTACCTCACGCAAGATTATAAGAGATATAGGGGGCCTTCTTCATCTTACTAATTTCTTCATCACTACTTGATAAGCTTTTCCTCAAGGGTCATTTTCTACCCGTGAAAGAAGAAAGTTGAAATCATTTTTTTTACTCTTGACTATCGCTTTATGTAGTTCTTTCCGCTTTTTCCAGAAATTGGTAAAGAGCTCCTCAAAGTCACGTCTTCCTTTAGCCCGCGTGTGCCTACGTCGAAACCTCAAGCATTCAGTTCTTAGCGATTTCTTCGGACCACCAGTACAAGGGTGCTTTGTTTACGCCGTTCTTCCTTCGTGGCATTGCGGCACAGCAGACCATTGTAAGTGATTTCGTTATGTTCTTCGTTGGGCTCTGTGCATTATCTTGTGTGTCTTTATTGATTTGGCCAATGGTATATTTGAACATTTCTAGGTCGCAAGCTTTTGTCTTCCATCGTTTTGTCATACTTTTGAGCATAGTACTACAGGAATTTTGCATATATCGCGGATTTATTTCGAACGTTATGGTTCGGTGGTCACTTTGCGTATAGAGGAATTTCGGAAACTAGCCATGATGTGAAACTATCGATTAGCTTACAAAAGGGAGGTTAATATAGGACAACGCCCTGCCTTTAATAAAAGTTGGTTTGCTTCCGTTGTTAGGAAGTACTGATGGTCGAGATTTGATGCAGTTTTTGTCATTCATCTGAGCTTTTCCAACAGCCGTTTTGTATGCTAATCAGCTTTAACTACCAGTCAGGTGCTTATTTCCAACTTGTGGGCATAGCACACACAGAGGGTCTTTACTACAACCTTTTGCGGTGTGATCTTTCTCTCAGTTGCCGAATGTGTGTCCAAACTGAGGCATTTAAAGAATGTCCTCGTATCGGTCCTGAGTCAACCGATGCGGCGCAGTACCGAAACGATCCGTGTGTCCGCACAGGAATCTCAGTCTCCAATAATGTGACAGACACCGGAATCTTTGGGCAATCCCTACCGGGATTTACTTTCGACCTTTGACTTATTTTCAATAACTTTAGGTATGTATATAACATATATAACATCGGTCTAGTTCACTGCATTTAATACACCTTCCATTTGAAGTTCTTAGAGTGTGACTATCAGCTATTTGAGCAACACCTTTTGAATATACACACATACGAATATATCATATACACATTTTAGTTACACATATGTGTATAAGACTTTAATACTTTCAATACCGTTAAGATATCGCAACCTTACTTCACGCATTTCATGTTCATCCGATGTATATGTACTTGTATATAATATTTTACGTAAATCACATGAGTCAATATTCCACCGTCCGTCTGGTTAAACGACACTAACCGATCACACCTCCAATCCGCAATCACTTGCAAATTTATAACATTCTTGTCACATGAGAAACGCTTGATGTGCGTGGCAAGTCGGTCATTTGAAAATGAAGTCCGAACCGCTACACAAAAGCAAAACATGCGCAGATAAGATTTCGAGTGAAAATGCCTTTCTGCCAATTATTATAACCAACATGCAAACATTCCTATCTATGAGCGCACACATACACACACACTAAAGCAGACATATTTCTTGTTGGCGCCACAGGTACTTAGGAAACGCGATTACTGTCAGTTAAGTCTATTGACGTGCATATCTATCATATTAGTATATACTTGTATGCACATACGTACATACATATATACATATAATATTTGCTCAATTTTTTCTGCTCTAAGATAACGCAATAACAATAGTTTTTAGGAAATAGAATATGGAATGTAAATTGACCATTAACTACATAAATATTAGTGGCAACCCTGTACACGTGCATACATATGTACCTATTGTACATGCAATCGACTGTGGGGGAGGGGGCGTATGAGTTATTTCGAAAGTTTTCGCACAGCCTCAAACTTGCTCAACTGCTTACGGCAACAATTCAACGGAATATACCAAATCATATTTGGATTAAGCATGAGATACCGTAAAATTTTCGTAATTAAATATATCGTAAAATTTTGTTAATTTCTGAGCCAAATTGCATTTTTAATTAAATGAATAACACTTTTGGTGATGAAGATTAACTGGTAACAAAAATATTTGCATAAGGAAGCAAAAGTAAAGGAATAAATTCATTTATATGTATGTACATCCGTCAAGGACTTGTGTACAAATAGTATTATCTAGAGTAGATAATGTGTTCTAAATATGCATAATTATGTAACACTGCAAACATACATTTCACATGACTACACATCATTGCATGTCTAATCGTATGCTTCCATTGCGGCACACACGCACGCAAGTGCGTACACACATACATATGTATGTGTATACGTTTGACATCACTTCAATTGATTTAGACTGACGATGACCTCCATACTGGCCAACAACAAAGGTGGCATGCCTTAATAATGAGAAACAAATGCCGCAATGACAAACAATCAAACCCACATAAAGTTGATTTTAGGTTTATTTTGTAAGATTTAAAAACAAAAAATCCACATTTTTTAATATTCAATGACAAATTCCTCTGTTTCAGAGAAACCAATCGTATACCTGTCCGTGTGTACACATATTTACATTTGGTATACATATGGACATAGGCATGAAGGTACTGTGAAATAAAAAAACGTTTTACAACAGTGTAAAATGTGATTACAAACATGAAATTCCAAAACACTTACGACAACAGCGTCATCACTTGAAAATGTTCACAATAAGCCCGTCGCCAAACGTTGATACTGCGAACAAAAACAATAACAATAACAACAACAAAAACAATGAAAGAGACACAAAAATGAAGCCGAACCAAATAACAAAGTCATGTCATATATTATATGTACGTATGTACTATACACTATATGCATGTGCATGTGCATACGTACATATGTACCAAATAAGTAGACACGACTACACAAGCATACATACAATTGAGGCATTTCAACTATTAATTCATAAAATCGTCCAACGCATACACCATACACACTTAGACCACATCGACTTATTACCTACATACCGTTTTGTCTGTATATGCACATTGCACAAACGCTTCATGTAAACCCGAGCGTATGTGTGTGTATATGAGTGCGAGTATATCTGTCAGGCGCATTCGGTGTGGAATGCGGTTTTGTAACTTCTAAAATGAATTTCTCAAGTAAAACGGTTACAACGTCGAATGTCGAAGGCTATCCACCATCATGGCAACCGAGACATTGAGCAGGCGACTGAAGAGCAGAGAGAAAGTCACTTAGGCATTCATGTGAGAGTGTTGATAGAATGAGCGGATATTTTCCCGTCTTTATTATTGCATTTTACCTTCCGTACTTGGTTTGTATGGTGTGTTTTGCAATAGCCCTTTCGAGTGACCGCTAGCTATCACGTTCTCCTCCTGCCTCCTCTTCCTTACTTCGATCATCAAGCTATGAGTTATTCAGTTTCGCTATATCGGATTTTCGAGTGGTTGGCTCCAGTTAAGTCAATGTAACTGATCAGTTGCTTATTATCAGCAAATATGTCAGAGATACTCGTAGATACACAAAAATTCGAAGTTGTTTCCCTACATAATTCAATGAGTAATCACATTTTAATCGGACTCGCACTATTTCCCAAATATTCCCAAATAATTATATGTCAGTGTGGTTACCGTGATAGCCTCCTTAAAACTTGAAAACCGAATATCGAATGTAACTGCAACATGAACTGAACTTGAAAATCGCCTCTCAAGCATTTGACTCGCTGTGAAAAGTCAGGCTTGCTGTTACTCCTCTCTAGCGTATCTTTTACGATAGACGATTGAGACAAACCGATAAAAGTCAGGTTTACCTTCAAGATTTCTGTAAAGAGAGGGAGACACAGAGTGAGAGCGAGAGAGAGGCGATGAGAGTAAAACCAGGGAGAGTTTCTGTCCGTTTGGAAGAAGGTATAAAGTCGAAGACCATCGTTTTATTTGTATACAAGTATGTGCCTGTGTATGTTATGGCTATGAGGAGTTGAGAACTGAGACACCACGAGTGTTCAAGCGCAAAATACAAAATGTGTTTGTAGACAACGCATGGGCATGGGCAAATGCGCGATGAAAAAGTATATTGAGCGAATGATATTGAAAAGAGCACGGACGAAGAATGATTGAATGAAAGAAAATAAACATTTTCATTCAGTAAAATTCAGTTGTTGCTGCAACGTGGAACATATTGGCCACAGCCGACGCTAACACCAACAGCATTTAACAGTTACGGAATGAACTGTGTCGTAACAACAACGTCTTAAATTATACACTCGCATACTTATAGATCCAAAGGAATTATAACGCAAGAACAGCAATAGTTAAGTGGTGTTAAATGATAGTGACGTTTGAATTTCTTAAATGAAATGTACTAAATACTGACTCAAATGTGCCTAGAAATGAACCAGCATGTATTTTTTAGTGAAAACTTCACACATGTTAATGTTACTGCATTTGAGGAAGTGCAAATTGGAAATGTATGTATTGCTTATAAGTATGTAAATATGTGCGTGGTTAGTTGTAAGTGAGCAAGCTGAGCAGGATGCAGGATGCATGAGGACTACAGGTGTAACATGACGTGGATAAGTGTTGGGTAATGTTGCAATATGTGAACAGATGTGTGGAAGGAGTGAACTTACCATATTGAAAAGTACCGTTGAACATATTGTGGAGTACATTTTGAGTAACTGAATTTAAACGGCCCTTAATTTTTAAGTATTTTTTTCATTTTCGTTGCTGGGTTCAGATCAATATTTAGTGGTTGCTAATTTTCTACTATATTAGCAATTTTTCGGTGAGCCTAAGTGTTACGTAAGAGTTCAATAAGATTGAGGATCTCCTGAAAGTGCAACTAAAGTCGTTCATGTGTAGGTGCAATATGTTTGCACAAGTATTTGTATGTGTGGCTGTGTGTTTGTGTGAAAATAAATCTGCGATCTTGCTGGACAGCATTCCACAAACTTACAATGAAACAAACAAACCAACCAACTTGAACAGAAATACAAACAAACGCTTGAAAATCAGCAAGTACGACAGCAGCAACAGCAACAACAGCAACATCAACAATACTTACTTACTTGCGCGGCAGTCAGATGCATAAGTGGAAGATAAGTAAACGAAAACGATTTAGAAAGGTTAAGGTATCTATCTCGCCATTGAGATTGACTCTAGAGTCTAGACTGAGTTAAATAAGACTCTAGGCGTGACGTACGTAGTAACATAGCATCGGATTCCGATTTCGCTTGCCTATATCTAGTCTGCTGCCTCTCCAACCCGCTACAATGTTACTTGACCGCTTTGTGCACATACACACATACTTACTTACATATGCTGGTATGTTTGTGTGGTTGGAGAAATTTTTAGATTTAATTTTAGCTTTATTGCTATTTCAGCATTCGAAATCGACTGAAACGGTGAAAGCGGCTCGAAGAATGTGCGGCTGCCAATAAAGAAAGTTTGCAAAGGGTTTGGAGCCAAGGTTGCTAATTTCTTGTGCCAAAAAATTGAAATTCGGTAGAGAAGTTAAAATCGCAAAATAAATTTCTCTGGAATGTCAAATTGCATTTGGACAGCTATATGCAAGGAAATTCTAAGATTTATGCACAAATTAAAATTGGCAGGGAAACTTTAAAAATTAGAATTTTAAATTAAAATCTTAGGCAGCAATAAATTTAATAATAATAGTAATAATAATAATAAGAACAGAAAAAACATATTTATTTGCATAATACTGGATTAAATGTATTTTGCGGCCAACACTTTTAAAAGATATTAAACATTAAAATTATACATCAATTAAACAACTATAGGAACAACAATTGTACAATTGTTATAATTTCAGACGCACCCTAATACACACCTATATATAAATATATAAATCGTCCACACACATTTGTGTCTATTAAGAGCGCGTCCGACTCCATACGTTGCACATCGTTGTTGTCGTTGTTGTCGTTGTAGTCACTCTGTTGGCAATAAAACACTGGAATGTTGTTCCGTCGCTGCTGCTTACAACTCACGGATGCTGCGGCTACTCGGCTCTTGTATGCAGTTGTTGTTGTCTCGCTGCATTGCTGCCTCAACAGTTCTCATTCATCTTGCTACTTCTACTCAACGCCACGCAGTTTCTGATGCCGTGAGTTGTATGTTGTTGCTCGTCATCGTTGATCTTGCGCTTTTTATTGCACAGTTATGAGCGCGCTCGTGTGTGGTTAATGTAGACGCTCCGGCATTCATTGACCACTGCTAGGCGTAATTGTTGATGTTTTTGCTTACTTTGTTGCTACCGCGACTTGAACTGGTTGCTGGTTGCTAGTTGCATTCTTGCGAGCACAACGACTGTAAAACAACAATACCAACATCACGAAGCATGCCATTCTATATAAAACTAACGAAGTCTGAAACAGTTCGCAGGCGGGCTGACGACAACATATAAACGGACTCACTTGCACGCGCACTCACACATATATATGTTTGCAGCAGCAGCGCGATGCATGACAGTACGATGGACAGACAGTAAGGCTGGCAGGCATGCAAAGAGACTGATCTTGCTGACTTGCTGACTTGTAGTTGCCTAGCCAGTTCTGCTGGTGGTTAGTTTGCAGCTCCGCTTTCCAGTTACTAGGGTGTGCTTGTGTGTTGTTCACGTTTGAATACTCGTCTGCGGGTGTGTGTGAATGTGTGTGTGATCGTGTGCAGAATGAAACTGATTGAGCATTCCTGACTCGTGAGTCACCGCCGAACCATCTCTAGCCAGTTCTCTAGCCAGCTATGCATGAGTTGCTATGTTGCTGGCAGAAGTGCGCAGACCTAAGCGCAATCAAGCAAGAGTCAGCCTGTGTAAAACAATCAATATGATGCTGTAAGTAATGGAATTTGCTTTTTGTTGTTGTTGTTGTTCACTCACTAGTACTGCTGAATAATGGTGCTGATGATGAAGCCAAATGAATTGGAATTTTTATTATGCAGCCTTGTGCTTCTCATTACTGCCGCATGCATAAATGCCAACTTCGCAAGACTGTGAATGTACGGAATGAAAAATGAATTAAAGTACGTAACATTAGAGTAAGTGCAGTGGGGTACGTACAATTGTTAAAGTTGAAAACAAGAAAGTTGAAAGTTTCTGTGCTTAACATTTGGAAAAGCTTTTCAAATTAACGGTTTGTAAGATTTGTTTAGGACCTCTAGACTTTCGATTGTATTTACCGAAAGCACTGAAAACGTTGACGCACAGAATTCTTCTTTCATCATTATTGTTTCAGATTTATTTCGCAAAGCTTGAGTCAAGCCAAGTTCTGGTTGTAGCACTCGGCGATACATACGTCATATTAAATTCATTAATTGCTGGATTTATGTATGTTCCCAATGAATTTGAATTCATTTGAAAGCTTTAATTGATGATTGGGTTTTCCCAAAGTTGATGGTGTGTTGATCATTACTCATTTGTAATGTAAGCCCCCAGCTTAATTTTCGATCAAACTTATTAGATTATTGGATATAGAATTAACTGGCATAAACATTTTAGATTGCTATATAATTTAGTAAATCCTAAGTCTTTAAATTTTATTAACACACTTCACGAGATTCTGAAATCATTTTTCATATCTATTTCTATCTAAATAATAAAGATTACAATTTTCTTTTTTTAACTGGGTTTTAGTATGTATTCGCCAACTCTTCGCTTGAATTTGCTAAAAGCTAGTGTAAATTTGTCACAAATAATTGTATTTAAAATGATAAAACTGCTTGAGGCAAGCAGCCCGCAATCCGATCGATTTAATATGTAAGTGCAGTGTGTGATGTATGTACTTGTATATATGTTAGTAGTTACACCCGTTAAGGGTATTGATTTCAAAGAAATCAAAGTAATCGATATGTCTGCACGCCGGAATAACAGTTTACAATGCAGCAATGCGCGCACTGACCGAAAGAGATATGGAAACAGAAACAGCAAAAGTCAATCACCAGTATGGAATGCCACCGCATTGAATTGAAAGTCAAGTCGAGTCCCTAAGCAGCGAGTCAAGGCGAATAACTCTAAAATGGGCGGAGAAGGGGGACAGGTAGATCGGTATGTTGGTATAAGTAGTGGAGACGAAATGGCAAGCCAATAAGAGTCAACAAACGGACTTGTTTACTGCTGCGCACACATACACACACTCTCGTGCTAGCACACAAATATTTGTGCTACTTACATACCAAAACCAGATTATGAGAAAGAATGAAAATAACAACAACATTACAGACGAAAAACGTCGAACACACAGACGATTCGTTGAAAAGATCAATGACTGCAACTAACTAAAAGGCAAACCGAAAGCAGTCGAACGGAACGAGTTAAAAAACGACGCTCGTAGCTGTTGGTCTATGAGGTAGAAGCAGAGAAGGTGGCGGGGGATTTTATTGGAATGTTTGGACAAACTTACACAAGTTCTACTTTCTTGGGTTAATGAAAATGAACTAAGTCATAAATAAGAGTGTGCAAGTATATGACATTTGTGTGTGTGTTTGTGTGCATGTGTAGCAATAAAGTGAAGTTAACAGTGAGTGGCGACCACAAAATTGATAACGTCAGCAGAATGAAGTCAATTGATGTTGGCGATGGCATAATCAAACACAAATGTGGCCCATACACACATGGCTGGACAAATAACAGTAAGGTAAGCACTTATTCAATGTAGTACAACTTGTAGCGTAGAATTATCAAAAACAAAAATTAATAAAACTAATAACATACTCGCTTTTCATACTTGCTGCGGCGTTTGTGCCATGTGACCAACTACAGTAATTTATAATTCAATCTTTTTTGCTTTGTAAATTGTTACAAATTCCTGAGTATGAGAGAGTTCAGATACACACGTTCACCAGCTATATCCATATATTAGGTAGATTTCTATGTAATTTATCGGCATTACTCCGTTGTCGTTGTCGTTTTCGTTTTAAAACGAAATAAAAACGGAAATGTGGCATTCCTTTTGGCGTTATCGACATTTACCCAAAATAAATTGGTGTTCCCCATTTTGAAACGACTATGATAACGACAAAGAAACAGTCGTTCTTTGGCGTTGTAGTAATTGAGAGCGAGATAGATATGAGCGCGATTATTTGCAGTGAATATGAAAACATGAATATGAATAATTACTGATGAAAATTCTGCGTATCTAAAGATTTAAGAAAGTGAATAAAACCATTGAATTTCTATATATTTTGGAGGGATATTTCGAAAAAACGGTTGGCATAAATTAAGTAAAATTTGTAAAATTGCATTTTTATATATTTTTGTTCGAAGGTGTTTAACACTTATGTATGTATATATTTAAGGTATGAAAGCACCCAAAATTCAAAATAAATAAAAAAAATGGTACGGAACAAAAAAGCTAGTGCCGCAGGAGAAGGTGTTATTATTATTATGATTGTTTTATTTCTTATGTTCTTAAATTCGCAAAAAGAGATACAATGGCGCTATCGGTCGTTATTGTACTTTCTTCATTTCAATTAAAAATTTTGATAACTTTTCTTTGGCGTTACGATACACTTTAAGAAACGAAGCGATGATAAAAGCGACAACAACTTAGAAACGACAACGGGAATGGAGCCATTTATAAATTAGAAGCAAATATCCTGAATACATTTTGCCGAAGCTGGCCGTAATGCTTAAATAATTTCAAAATGGAAAGGAACTCTTGAAATTCAACCCTAGCATATTTTGTAGAGTTAATTATTTGAATTAATTATTGTTTATGTGACATTTAATGAGAGTGCTCTATACGTCAGCTCAATATCAACGCTTCTCGAAAACTGTTGCATAGTTTTTGGCGCTTTAGCCCACGTATTGTGTTATTTGTGATCTGCATTCAAGAAGCTAGTAAGGATGTAGGAAAAGTAGAATACAAATAAAATTGCGAGCGGCAAGGTGCAAGGCAACAGTAATTTATACCTCTTATTAAGTATATTCTAAGATCGAAATTATTTACTAGCATTGTGCCAATTGCACGCTCATAACTGGGAAACTGTTGCAACTTCACTGAATTATGGCTGTGCTGCACTTAGATCCAAGTCCTCTGCATGTACACACACACACACACATTCACATAAACGCATGTATTTGCCGCCGACATGGGTGTATGTGTGTGTATTTCTGTATTGGCCTGAGCTGGTGGCAGCTCCGCGCAATGATAAAATGAAATATGCGAATGAACTGACAGATAGATAGTAGATGAGTGAATGAATAAATGAATGAAAGAATGTTGACCTAATTTCGTTTATTTTATTTACACACATTTCTTTTTTATTTCTAGCTTCATTTAATGTGCTTGTTGCTTGTTGGTCTCACTTGTTGCCGTTTAGTGGCTTGTTGTTGTTACTTTCATGCGGCGGTGCTATCATCGATTGGTAAGCTTAACATATAACATACATATATATAAATATACATATATATATATATATGTATTTACACACACACATACATATAAAACGACACCTTCCGTCACCCCTTTGCGAGCACACGCAGATCTTTTCCGAACAACTACAACAACAGCTATGTGGCGAAATGAAAAAGCGAAAAAACACTCATACTTGCACAGGCAAACCAAGAAGAAGAGGAAGAAAACGAAATAAAAATCTTACAGAGAATACCCACACACACGCACCCACCAAGCATATCATGACACACGAACACCATGCGCTTGTGTGGTTGTTGCCTGAATAAGACGCAGTGAAAGAGGCAACAACATATGTATATGTTTGCATACATACACTTTATACAGTCAGACACATACACATGTATGTGAGCAATAGAAATGAAGAAATGAAATGTTTTTCATTAGACACTTTTTTATTTTTATTGTATTGACACGATCCACAGTTGGAGCTTTGCTTCCGAACGTTGCGAGCGGTTTTCTTAGCTGTGACAGCCTGTTTCACAAACAAACAATGAAAATAAAAATAAATAACAAAGAAGTAAAAATAAAATAGACACCGCCGAAGTATTTACATTTTTTCGCTGAACTTTCTTTCTGCTGCTCAATCTCTCAAATTTCGCGAATATCAATGCTCCTTTTTTGTATTTTGCGTAATGTGAACAAAGTGTTGTGCTAAGTGCTTGATTAACATATGTGCTCGTATATATAAATATTCCCACATATGTGGGGTTGTGGATAGAAATAAAAGTGTACTTTTGTGAGAACTTATGATATGATTGAGGATGTGTGACTTTCGGTTTGCAAATTCATATGCCATACATGTATGTACCATATGTGTGTGTAAGAATTCAAGAAATAGCATTGACGATCGCATAACCACTCGCCGTCTGGAAGCAGGCCCACGTGCCGACGTCGGCGACTGACCTACTTAAGCATTTTACTGATGCGCACTCGGCAGCGTAAGCTCACATACACGCACTTGCACACGCACACAGATTTTTATGAACTCGTTAGCGGAGGTACGTAAGTAAACTTGTACACGTTAAATAATATTAACTTTCAAACATTGGAGCATTTATATAACAACAATTTGCGGTGTGGGAAAATCGGTTTTTGTAGCTTTCCAAAATGACTCAGCAGCAATTAGGATTGGAATGTGTCAGTTCTTTCTTTCTTATACGATTTTTACTTCGATATCACGACTTTATATTATATGCAACTAAATGACAGTGTTGATCATAATTTTATCTTTTGAATTGCTTGGTGAGTTAAGAAACGTGAGATATTTACAACTTCAAAAACGCAAATAGCAATGGAATTAAAAGTTTAAAAAAATGTCTTTGCCTTTGTTCTAAATCTATTATTTTATTATTAGTTATGGTATAAACTTCACTTTACTTTACTCCTCTGCAATCCTTACCACTAACTTCTGTACATTTTTGGTTTCACCTTGATTATAATAATTAAAAGTAATTACAAATATTTTTTTATTAAAATTTAATTAATATACAATCAAGTTCTGATATGAAGCTTTATACATCTCTTAGTCTTTGTACTAAGAATTTCTCAGGAGGCGATCTAGGTTACTTTAGTTTTCTGAAAAGCTTATCAAATGGCCAGTTACTGAATGCCTCAACGACTTTCATTCAACCTTATCTTCGAAGCATTCAAGGCCGAACTATGTGATAACTTTAGAATACTGCAAGATATAGTCCATAAGAGCACCTGTTGTGTGTTAAAAATTTGGTTCGGGCTCCTTTGTAAAATGATTTAGATGGAAAAGTAAAATTGACGTCAGAAAACATTAAGACAAAAAACAATAAGCACAACAATGCCATTTTAGATACTTCATTATTGCAAAGTCCATTTCAAGTAAAACCACTGCACCCGGCCTCATGTCCAGCCAAACCCCATCACTTCGTTTAACTACTTATAATATTCATTGCACAGACACATTGTGGCATGCGACGCAGTGAGCCACCAGCAGGGTATTCTTATCGCTGTCCAGCGATCGTTGTTGTATTTGCCTTTGCAACATATCTTCTGTTGATTGCAACTGCAGAAATGGGGCGCGTTCTGGAATGTGGCAAATCCAGTTTCTCACCTTCGATGCGGTCCGGCAAACGGACATATGAGCCAGCAAATAGTATTCAGTCTCCAGCAGACTTTTCACTAGTGTGTTGCAAGCATGTTGCATGTACCTTTTCACTGGCGGCATGTTGCTAGACTTTTTATTACAAAAATTGCATTTAATTTCATGCTTTGTGCATGTGTGTGTGTGCCTCGTGCGCCGTGCGCCGTTCTCCTGACCACAGTCGTCAGTTAAGGCTTTCTTTTCGTAAGAGAATGGACTTTTGGAGTAAATATCGCAACTCTGAATTGTTGTTGTTGCTGCGCTAAGTAGCTTCCGCCGTTGAAATTCTCATCTCTCACATTGTTGGTATGTTTGTTTACAAGCACGTTTCGTTGATGTGTGCTTTAATTCTTTTGTGTTGTTGTTATTGTTATTTGATGCTTTTATATTGTTTCCGTGAATCACTTAATATTGCCTGCAACACTTCTTTTTGGGTGTCTGCGTATGTGTGTGAGTAGTTGCACAGTTGGTGCTAGCGCCACGGAACTCTCTCATATGAGATTTGCATTTACAGTTCGATCTCCTATTGTGGGTCATTATCTATTTTGTATGGGTCTAAGCGCCACACCAACTTCTAGATTCCTATTATACATATTCTAAATACATACATATTAATGGAACTTGGGTAAAACTTTTGTGATGAAGAGCTTCATCTTTTCATGCTTTTAGTAAACATTTCTGATAATTATTTTAAGTTTTAGCTGATTTAAAATTTTTTTTTTTTTGACAACTTTCTAATAAATAGTTTCGAGATTGGAAACTTATAGCAATACTCGACAATTTTAAAAAGAATAATCTGTTAAAGAATAAATCGACGCTACAAATACACGACAGAAACCGAGCAAAAGTACGATTTCGCTAAAGAATCTTATTGTAAAATAACGGATGCGCGTGAACTACATAAAATTACGATTCGCTAACAAAAAAGGTGAATCAACTAAAACATATCAAAGTTAATGAAAACATAAAATTACGCACTTCTTCGGAAGCGTTTGGCTAAAACAAAAAGAAAAAAAACAATACGAATAATAAAATGAAAACAATAAAATAATTAAATTAAGTCTAATTTATTATAATTGAAAATCGAAAAGTGGCTGTAACAACAAAGCAACCGAAAACTGCTATATAAAATCGTTATACAAATTCATTTGCATATGTATATATGTATGTACGTACGTATGTATGGTTGGGTATGTGGGCATTCGATTGGAGGTGAATACATTTTCGATTCGCTTCGATGCGCTACATCAGTCGAGCTTTCTCGGAAGCTGTCTTTGCCTATAAATGCCAATCGCCCGCGTTTGTACAACTTCAAAAACACACACATGCACACAAGTACATATGCATACATATATAAAGTGCGTAAATACTGCGAAGAATCGGAGAATGTGTGACACACATATAAAAAAAGCATGCCTGCTGGTGTGTGTGACTCGATTGTTTGATGTGATCTGAACTGATTTCATATGCGATTTGATTTGAACACAAAACCGGTTTTCGATTTGATTTGGCTGTTTCTTCAACAAGTGAGATCATTTTGAAAGCTGATTTTG